CAAAAAAAAAAAAAAAAAAAAAATTTGAGTTGGAGGATTTTAACTTTGGAGGTTTTATTGGCGTGTGGCAGGGCAAGGGACCCAGCCTAGAACTTAGGCTTCCTGGATGGACTTAAAAGTGACGGTTTGTTTAAATCCTAATGACTCCAAAAGCGGAGAAAAAAAATTTTTTTTTTGCAGTTACTGGCCGCGGCTGGGCTTGAACCTGCCACCTCTGGCATATGGGGCCGGTGCCCTACTCCTCTGAACCAAAGGCGCCGCCGTGGAGGAATTTTAAACAATAATAAAAATAAATCCTGCTGTATGTAAGGCACTGCGCTCTGGTCTAGTAAATATCACAAGTAATTAGAATAAATTCTTAGTGTTCTTCAGATCTTTAAATAAATATAAGCTTGCATTTGAATAAGAAGTATTCCTCAAGCTTATAGAATCCCCTGGAGCCACGATAAATTGCCATCTGGCTGCTTCCCTCCCGGTACCGTGAGAATGTTCACTTTTCCTTTAAAGTCTAGCCAAGATTTTATCAACTTTTCCCCATGATTAGTACAACTATTACGAAAAAAACTTTTTTCTTCATTTTCTAAATTTAATACTGTGTAACACAATCTCTCAAAAAAAAAAAAAAAAAACCTCCACCATGTGTGTTTTTGCATAGTTATCACCTGATGGCTGATTTAAATTAAGGAAGAAAGAGAAAACCATTGCCAGAACCTTAAATCCCAATAAAAAGAGGAAAACGTTTACTTTGCAGTGGAACTCTTCAGACCAGCTCAAACAGGTCATGAGGATTTACAATTTCTCCTAATTCTGTCAGGCAGCTTAGAATGCCTGAAAAGTTTGCAACACAGTCCTGTAATTATTGGTTTCTCTGCTTGTCAGTATTTACAGTTGGCCCCTCTTGATGATCCTGTGATAACTGCTAGGGCAGAAGAAAAAAACAGTAATTGAAATTTCCATTTGAAATGGGCATATTTAAACGTGAGTGTGCCCAGCCTGGACCCGCCAAACAACAATGACGGCTGCAACCAAAAAATAGCCCGGCGTTGTGGCGGGCGCCTGTGGTCCCAGCTACTTGGGAGGCGGAGGCAGGAGACTCGCTTGAGCCCAGGAGTTGGAGGTTGCTGTGAGCTGTAATGCCATGGCACTCTACCCAGGGGGACAGCTTGAGGCTCTGTCTAAAAAAAAAAAAAAAAACGTGAGTGTGCCAAAAGTCTCATTATTGAAAATAACTAATTGACGGGAAAGCAGCCCCACTTCCTTGTGCATTGCTCCTAACTCAGCAGGTTTTCCACCCAAGTCTGATGATTGACTATATACAGTAGTACTGCACCAACTTTCAGCGAGTCCAGCAAAAGGTATACCTGATTTATTTTTTTATTTTTTATTTTTTTTGAGACAAAGTCTCACTATGTCGCTCTCAGTAAAGTGCAATGGCATCATAGCTCACAGCAACTTCTGGGCTTAAGTGACTCTCTTGCCTCAGCCTCCCAGTAGCTGGGACTACAGGTACCTGCCCCAACACCTGGCTATTTTTTTGTTGAAGTAGGCCCTGGTGGGGTCCCAACCCGCCAGCCTCAGTGTACAGCTGGTGCTGTAACCACTGTGCAACCGGCACCAAGCCTATACCTGATTTCTTTTAAGGGCTATGGAGCAGTTTGATAAACAGGCAACACAGCTTTTCTTACTCCCTCGGGTCTTTATTTATGCAGCAAACATTTATTAAGTTTAAGACAACCATTGTGCTTGATGAGGGTACAAGCACAATGGACCACACAGTCTGGTGAGGGAAGTCAGCAGATAAATAATTACAATGCGAGGGAGAGAAGAAAAGAACATACACTGGTGGTTTACTATACACTTCGCCATATTTATCCTTAAAACAGCCCATGAGGAAGCATCATTACCCCCATTTTACAAATAGAACTGTTGGAAAGGTTTAAGTAACTTGCCCAAAATCACCTAGTAAATATTATACCCTGTATTAGAACCCAGAAATAATAAATCACTGTAAGTAAATTCTAGATTTGTCCGTAGACTCAGTAAAGGAAATGTAGAAAGGAAGTATTTCAGATAATTGTGTGCATGGGATGATTATGAGTATATGCCATTTAATTGCAACTAGCAAAGTACAGGTTTTTGCAGTTTTAAAAAGCTGGCACTACAAAGGCAATTGTTACACTTTTTAATAAACAGTAATCTTCACATGTAGGTACAAAATATTTCTATACTGTAAGCTAAATCCAAGTATATCAACAATGTTTGGAAGATTGAATGTTCTAGTTAACTTAGTCATAAGTTATTCGTTCAATAATGAGCACCCGGTTAGACATCTGCTACCACCAGGAACACGGCTATGACAAAACAGACATGGCACTTACACCTTCTAATGGAAGAGCTACATTTGTAGTGTAAATTTATCATGCATATAGGTTTTCACAGAACTTGAATAAGTGCAAAAGAATAATGAAAATAACCATCTTTCTGGTTCAGAAGCTGTTTCAAATGCTACAGTGCATTAAGACATTTTTAATACTGTATAGGACACAGACAATTGAATGACATATTAACTTGGAACTTTTTAAAAATCTATTATTAGCTTGTTTATTTGCAGTTAGGCTCCCATATAAGCTCAGGATGTACATAGGAAACAATAAATGGGTTAGTGTGGCTGGCCAAAATACATATGAAGGGAAGATTGGAAGATAAGTAAACAATGCTAGGTTAGGAGCTCAGGACAGGCTCCCATGTTGCGATAAGCTTTATGCTAAAAACACTGAAGATCAATTAAAAATCTTAAGGAAGTTATATAGTCTGTACTCCTTTTTAATAGTAGCAATCTGGTAACAGAATTTCATTTGAAATGGAGCTATGAAAGATAAGAAAGACCAGTGAGAATAATGTTGAATTGGAACAGACATGAAATGATAGTTTGAACTAAAATAGAAAAGGTGGTTTGGAGAGCCATAGAGTATAAAAAATTAGGAGGAATTGGTAACTGATTAAATGTAGAGAATGAGAGAATTCTCTTGTATATGTAAAAATATAAAATTATTACATTTATCTAAATGAGTTGAAAAATAGCGGTATCATTTAAAAAATAAAACAATTCTCTAATTCAGAAAGCAAGTTCTCTGTCTTCCCTCCTTCTCCAAGGCCTGCTTTCATCCCAGGTTACTTAAGTATCCGTATTGTTGAACCAGCTAACTAGATTCACAGTTCTTTGAATTCTTTGAATCCCAAAACTTCAATAATCCATTATGATGGACATATCCTAAATGTTTTACAGTTAGAATTGCTTTAGCTCAGAAATATTAGCTTCAACTTTTCTTCCGTTCTCAGCCAGGCACAATAGCTCGCACCTATCGTCCCAGCACTTTGGGAAACCAAGGCAGGAGACTAAGCAAGGTAGGAGGATCACTTGAGCCCAGGAAACTGAAACCACCCTGGAGTCTCTGTCTCTACAAAAAATACATAAGTAGCTGGGCGTGGTGATATGCACAGAGTGAGACCTGTCTCAAAAAAAAAGAGGAATAAAGCAAAGGCCAAATATTCCAATCTAATCATGTTTGCTCTCCATCCTGTATCCCTTTCACACAAATCAAGATGTTTAGTCTTCAGTTCCTCCTAATGTCCCTTTCTTGATGCATGGTCATTACTTCAACCACTAGACGACCACCACAGCTCAGTTCTCTACTTGCCTTTCTGAACTTCCCTTCTCAGTTTCTTTTTCTCAGATATCATTGTTCCCCCAAGTATTGTTCTTAGGCAACACTCTTTCCCTGTAGATCAGTGGTTCTCAACCTTCCTAATGCCGCAACCCTTTAATTCCTCATGTTGTGGTGACCCCCAGCCATAAAATTATTTTCACGGTTACCTCATAACTTTAATTTTGCTACTGTTATGAATCGTAATGTAAATATCTAATATGCAGGATGTATTTTTCATTGTTACAAAGAGGTCACAACCCACAGGTTGAGAACCGCTGCTGTAGATAAAACCGTTCCTTCGGCTCAGCGCCTATAGCTCAACCGGCTAAGGCGCCAGCCACGTACACCTAAGGTGGCGGGTTCGAATCCCCAGCCCGGACCC